TTATTATTATTATTATTATTATTATTATTATTAGGTACTGGGGATTGAACCAAGGGGCACTCAACCACCGAGCCACATTCCCAGCTCTATTTTGTATTTTATTTAGAGACAGGGTCTCAACAAGTTGCTTAGCACCTTGCTGTTGCTGAGGCTGGCTTTCAACCCTGGATGCTCCTGCCTCAGCCTCCCGAGCTGCTGGGATCACAGGTGTGCACCTCCATACCCAGCTCTTGGATGCGATATTAAGGTCAATGTTTGTTCTGGTTGGTGGTTGCCTAGGCCATGTTAGAGTAGCACCTCTGAGTAGCACTTCTGCGTAGTACAAGGCTTTTAAGTTTGCTGCTTTCCTCTCTTGATGATAGACCACTTTATTCCCAGCTCTAATCTGGAACCCTGGAGTCCACCAGAGTTCAAACTATATATTCACATAAATGATTTAGTTGACACACATGGAGCTCTCTATAATGCTGAAAAGGAGGGCAATGGACTGAGCATGTGTGTAATGGAACCACAGAGACCCTTCCACCAAGTGGATATTTCTCAAGACTCTTTTGGTTGTTTTTATGATCAGTACAGATATACTTTGGGGATTAATCATATCCCACCTGTGCCGTCACTTTTTTTCTCTGTGCCCCAGATGACAAGCTCTTGACCTTCAAACATAGTCACCCAATAGGTTGAGTCTTTCAGTCCTGCCATCTAAATACACATCCACTCAGCATGTGTGAGTGCCAACCCCTGGGCCTTCGCCAGTCTGGTCCCCACCAAAGCTGTCAAACTGACCACATTCAGCCCCACCGGAGGCACAGCATGGCTCTTAGGACTTGTGGTTCTGTTCTTCATTCTAGTGTCATGATGTCTGGCTTTCTGGGAGGTCTGGGCATTCTACTCTCCCCAAGCCTTTTGAGAAGGTTACTCAGGACTAACCAGGGGTAAGTTCAGGGTTCTTGATTGCCTATGTCCTGAAGTGGTTTTGAGTTGGGGGATCATTAAATGTCCTTTTATAGTTCATCTTGGGTGGAAGTTCCTGTCCTTTTAAAGCTGCTTTTCCCTTCTGCCCCATCCCCTAGTCTAGAGGATGAATGTAAGATCTTATGATGATGAGATCTTAGGAATGTTCTCCAAAAGGTTGTGAAGATTGGAAGCCTAGTAAAGTCATTCCGTTCCATGGGCTGAACTGAGCACATGTTATTTCTCTTCCTTTTGCTATCTGTAAAGGAATACAGCCAGTATAACCCTCTAGCAAGGAAGACCATGGGGGGTGGGGACAGTGGATGAGAGATTTTAACATGAGTCTGGCAGGCAGAAGATGCATAAAGAAATGCTGGCTGTTGAGGCAGAGTGGAGAAACTCTTAGCTCAGAATACATGCTAAGGGAACATGCTTAGTGGAGCTAGAGATGCCTCAGATTTAGATAACAGGTAATTCAGGTGGCCTAAGATGAGAAAGCAAGGAGGAATAATTGAAGTTATATGAAAAAACAGATAACCCTTGCAAACTTGTCTTTTTCAAGTTGGAGACCAGATTATAGTATCAAATTTATCCCCTGAATAAATGAGACTCCTTCTTTCCCTCCTCCTCTCCTTCCCTCCCTCTCTCTTTCTTTTTCTCTTTCTTTCTTCTCACTCTCTCTCTTTTGGTACTGGGGATTGAACACAGAGTCTCACACATGCTAAGCAAGTTCTCTTCCATTGAGCTACAGCCCCAACCCTTTAAAAAAATTATTGTTTTGAGACAAGGTCTCCAGAATTTTCCCAGACTGGCCTCAAACTCACAATTTTTTTTTTTTTTGCCTCAGCCTCCTAAATTTTGGGGATTACAGATATGTGCGACTGCAAACATCCCGTCCTGAGAATGATTATTTCTTAAGAAATTGTCTGAAGTTTCAGGGCAGAATCAGATCAGCAAGTGTGAGTTGGTTGGGTGTAATTGTGACTTTCTGGTATTTCTTGTGGCATGAAGCCAGCCCCAGCCTTGGACACAGAACTCCTGGTCAGAGTATCTGTTATTTCATTCAAAAACATGAATGAAGGACCAAGGATCCCCATACATTTCAGGAGAATCTGAACAACAGACAAAGAAAAAGGTAAATGGAGAGTTGACTTCAGAGGAAACCAAGATGATTGGGGAATTGAAGAGAACTCCTAAAATGCCTCTTCTCTCCAAAGCATTCATGCTGACCCTGGGTGTATGCAGCACCCTGAATGTGCTGTCCACGGGTCTCACTCTTGGGTCAATGTGGAAAATTTACACATATTTGTTTAACTTGGGCTTCTGGATTACATGTTGTAATGATCAAAACAGGAGCTATGAACCACATGTAGCTATTTATATTTAACTTTAAATTAATTAAAATGAAACAAAATAAAAAATTCTATCCTTCATTCTCACTAGCCACATTTCAAGTCTTTAGTAGCCACATGTAGCTAGTGGTTATCATGTTGGACTGGAGCTGATGCAGAACATTTATATCATTGAAGAAAATTCTGCTGGGCAGTGTTGATTTATAGCAATAGGTTTCAGTCCAAACTTGTATTTTAACATCATTGCAGAGATTTATAAAAACACATACATACATCAATCACTTCCTTTTTAAAAAAATATTTAATTTGTTTTTATATATTTTTAAATTGAAGCATAATTTATATATAGCAAAATACTCAAATCTTAAGTGTACAGGTTGATGAATTTTTAACTTGTATATGCCAGTGTGACTACCACTCAAATCGATATATGGAATATTTCCACCACTCTAGAAAGTTCCCTTGTACCCTTTCTCCAATATTTCAGCTCACTCTCTTCCCTCTTTCCCAAGTAACTACTGCTCTGAAATCTATCACTGTAGATTTTGCCTGTTTTTGAACTCACACATGGGATCACATAGTATATCTTTAGCATCCAATTCTTTCTGTGAGATGCCTTTGAGTGTCCTTTATGCTGTGTGTTTTTTTTTGTGCATGTTGTGTTTGTTCTATTTTATTGCCAGGCTGTGTTCCATTGCATAAATTTGTTTATCCATTCACCCATTGAAGAACATTTGGGTTGTTTCCAGTTTTTGTTTGTAATGCATAAAGATGCTATAGACATTGTTTTTAAGTCTTTTTGGGGACAGGTCTCTCCCTCTTCAGGAACTTCTTGGCTTGGACACTGTCAGATTATAGGACCCACCTGGGCTGGGGGTTCCTGGTAAAAATTTGAAGGACAATTTTTAGCTTCTGTCTTCTGATGCAGAGGAGAGGCATGGGGAGTATAAAATTTAACCAAAAGGAAGACAAAATCATTTGGAATGGATTCACTAAAGGCTGAAAAATGTGTTGAAAAAAATGGGTGGATTGCCTTAGAGGTTGTTTTTGGCATCTTTATGAATTTTGTAGGGTTATCATGAACTCCCTGCTGCTCAGTCCTGGGAGTCCTAGAAATGCCACTCACCTTGTGAGCCCCAGCAGTCATCCAATAGCCCTGCCTTAGATCAAGCTTATCCCTTCTTGTCCTAGCAATGCATTAGCCTTCGGGACGGTCCATAGCCAGAGTGATCTTTCTAAAGTCTGACTCTAATTTTATTCACTACAATACTTCAGTGGCTCCCCATTGTCCACAGGAGAAATGGGCCTGAAATTGCCTTTCTAATGCCCTTTCTTTGGAATTTTCTACATTCAACCTTTACTCTAGCTATACCAGACTCTCATAGCTCTTTGCCTTGGGACCAGGGTAAGGCAAAAAATTCACCTTACCAAAAAAATCTTTATTGAGACAGTAATATGTTAAATAAATATTTTAAAAAATCAAAATTAATTAAAAATTTATTATGAAACATATATCAGAATTTCACATAAACAGGCTCTGACACTGTTGTGCTGAGCTATTTTGGATCCTGAAGCAAAGGGAAAAAGTGCATCCTTATATGTGTGCTTTTGCATATTTTTAAAAAAGGTTTACTTAAATATTGGAGAAATAGAAAAGTAGATGTATCAACACTTATAAGTGATTTTACACTTATTTCAGTAAGTGATTTTACCCCAGGCCAGAATTTATTACAATTTTACTCTCTTGGTTTTATTTTTTATTTTTTATGTCATTATACATGTACTTTATTTGGTTTGCATTACAATTAAAAAATTTTTTTTTTGTTGTTATTGATGGATCTTTATTTTTTATATGTGATGATGAGGATCAAACCCAGGGCCTCACACATGCTCGGCAAGTGCTCTACCACTGAGCCACAACCCCAGCCCTGCATTACAATTCTTAATACACATATATCCCACATTTTTTCATATTTCTGTTTGTATATAAGATATGTTGACATCCAATTCAAGTCTTTATACATGCACTTTGTATAATGATGACCATCACATTCCACCATCCTTGCTAATCCCCTGCCCCCTCCTTTTCCCTCCCACCCCTCTTCCCTATCTAGAATTAATCTCATACTCCCATACTTTCTTGGTTTTAATAGAAACAAATGATCTGTACGTGTGAGTGTGTACACACACACACACATGCACACATGCACCTTGTGGGGTTAGGGATTGAACCCAGTGCTCTACCACTGAGCTACATCTCCAATCTTTTTTAAAATTTTACTTGGAACAGGTTTTGCTAAGTTGTCCAAGCTGGCTTCAAACTCATGATCCTCCTGTTTCAGCCTCCCAAGTCTTGGGTTATAGGCAGGAGCCACCATACCTAGCTGTCAGTTATATTTTCAAAATCTAGTTCTGGAAAAGAGTAGAGTTTGCATGCAGTTTTTACTGTGGTTCTGCATGATATCCATGTCCTCGTCTTGAAAATTTGTTCTTTTTAGATATACATGACATTACAATGTATTTTGACATATCATCCGTGTCTTCTTTACCTGGATCCCCCTTTCTTCTGACTAGGCAGTGTGGCACTGTGGTTTTCAACCTGGACTACCTACATTCTCCACCCTAGCACCACTATTCACTAGTTAGTTATATGATATTGGGAAAATTATTTAACCTCTCTCTCTCTCTGTTTCTTAGTTTCTTCATTGGCAGAGAAGATATCATATGGGAAGCTCTCTAAAAGAGAGGTTGTAAGGATTAACTGAGAGAGTCCGTGTAAAGAGAGAAAATTGTGAGAAGAAAAAGGATGACGTTTCTGCCCCAGGGAGGTCACAGTCTAAAGGAACAGTTGACTGACATGAAGACCAGTGACCCCAGATTACAGGTCAGTCCTAACTTCAGTCCCTGCCTGGCTGGGGAGAAGCCTGCAGTGTTCTAGAGGAGAGGCCCCAGCCCTGCTGTCGTGCAGACGCCTTTGGTGCTCCTTGAACACTGAAATGAACCATTTCAAGGAGTTGTAGAGCCTCTTAGATCAATTTCTGGGTTCTGAATAGCACCTTAGGTCATACAGGGGACTTCTGGGATGGGGCTAGTCACCTACATTGTGGGCATCTTCATATCCTTTAAGGGGATGACCACTGATTCTGTGTTGGGGTTTGTTTCTGACTCTTCATCTGAGGAGGATCCCATACCACCTGTTCTGCTTTTAACCTCTAGTCTAGGACTCCTGTGCCTCCCTTCCCACTCCCTGGATCACTCAGGGTTCCTATAGAGAAACAAAACAGGAAGATGCTTAGACATATATATGAATATGTATGGTTATGTGCCACATAATGTTGTGTTGGTCAATGATGGACTGTGTGTGCACTGGTAGTTCCATAGATTATAATGGAGTTGAAAAATTCCTACTGCCTTGTGATATAGTAGTAGCTGTTGTAACATCACAGCGAGCTACATTACTCATGTGTTTGTAGTGATGCTGGTGTAAACAAACCTATTGTTCAGCCATCATATAAAAATACGGCACATATAATTATGTATAGTACATGATACTTGACTATGGTAATAAATGGATATTGTTGGCTTATGTATTTATAATACTTTTTATCATTATTTTAGTGCATACTCCCTCTACTTACAAAAAAACAAACAAACAATAAAGGGCTGGGGGTGGGGCTCAGTGGTAGAGTGCTTGTCTAGCATGAGTAAGGCCCTGGGCTTTATCCTCAACACAGAAAAAAAAATACAGTTCACTGTAAAATAGTATACTGTGTTATGCTGGCAGCATCTTCATGTAGCTCCTGGTTACTAGGTTTCTTGATTGCAGCAAGAGGCTATGTTGTGTGACCGGCCTGTACACCTAGGTTTATGTAAGTGCAGCTTATGATGTTTGCACAATGGTGAAATTGACTTACAACACATTTCTCAGAACACATTCCTGTTATTAAGTGATGCATGACTATATGTGTATGTGCGTGTGTATATGGAGTTGGTTTATACAACTGGGCAAGGGCCTGGTGGGAGGGAGCTGGGTAGACAGGCCACCAGCAAGGGCAGTCTGGAATTATAGGCATAAGCTGAAACTTCTGACCACAAGTAGAATTTCCTTTTCTTCAGGGAAATGCCAGTCCTGCTCTTAAAGCCTTTTACCTGATTAGATCATTTCTACCCCGAGTCTCAAGGACACTCTCTTTCAGTTAAAGTCAACCAACTATAAACATTAATCATATCTATAAAATACATACATAGCAACACTAGACTAGTGTTTGATTGAATAACTGGGGACCATGGTCTAGACAAGTTGCTTGTAAAACTAGCCTTCACATTTTCCATTTTAATGGGATGGCCATTGATTCTATGTTGGGGTTTGTTTATGACTCTTCATCTGAGGAAGATCCCATACCACCAGTTCTGCTTTTAACCTCTAGTCTAGGACTCCTGTGCCTCCTTTTCCACTCCCTGGATCACTAGAAAAAGTGATTAATTTCCTGGGTCTATGGAAAGAAGAAGAAACAAATTTAGACACTTTGTGTCTATTAAAACCAAGAGATATGATTAAAAAGGGATTCTCATAGGTTAGAACCCATATTGGATCCAAATGGCTTACTGTTGCCCCTCAGTAGCTGAAGCACGAACCACAGTATTGCAGAACTCTTTTCTACAGGAACACAGGTCTCCTTCAGGTGGTAGGAAAAGGGTAGGTGAAGCAAAAATTAAGAGAGCATACATTTCCTGTGCACTATTCATGCCAGATTTTGAAAAAGTCTCATTCCCAGAGCTTATCTAGTAAGTGATACATTCTTCTAACACTCACATATGGGAGCTACCATGTCTCCTCCATATATTCCTTCCTCTGTCTTCCCACCCACCCACATTTGTACCCACTGACCCACTCTCCAAACATCCATCCATCCATCCGCCCACCGTCTATCTATCTACATAGGAGGCTGAGATGGTTACTGTCGTGTAGTGTTTTGTTAAAAATGTGGATTGAGTTTTTTGAGATAAATATTTTTTCTATGTAAGTATCAGCCAAAAAAATGTTGTATTGAGAGATACTTAATGTTCTATGAAGTTATGAGTGTTAAAAACTGAGAGATGTTGAATGGGGAAATGTTCCTTGGGGAGAAATTCTGCAAGGCATGCTATGTCTGGCTTTCATGTGCTCCTTGAGGCAGGGACCATATGAGACTCATGCCCCTCTTTCCATTTCCACTCCCAGGGCAGAGCCAGGCCCAGTACAGATGCCTGAACTACACGAAGAATGAACAGAGGGTTCAGAGCACTGTACTGGTCTGGAAAGAGATCCATCTTCACCCCCGTTTCTCTGCCCTGCTGTTTGTGGTAGGAGCTGACTTTTATAGGCGGCATGTCCCACTCTTCTATGTCAGTGGCTCTCAGAGGGATTCAGTCAATGGGAGGCACTGGTAGAAGGTGGGGAGGGAGAAGAAGGGAGAAACTAGGGTTCTTATCTCTTCCTTGGCTGCTTTGGATGGAGACTTCAGTATCTGCTGCACCTCTTTTGTGATTTCAGCTTCTTCAGGGTAACCTATGTGCCTCCTGTTCATCCTTCCTTTCTCTGTCCCTATGGCCCAGGGGTGGTGGCTTCCTGTGATGCTAACACTTGATTGCCTTGCTGTCATTCTCCCATCACTGCTGTAACCAATTCCCCACATTCAAGTCTCTCTGCCTTAAGCAGCTGGGTGGCTTCTTTTTTCCTCGTTGGATCCTGATTAATGCAAGACTGAATTGTGGATGTGGCTTCTCTTGCCCCAGAACCTCAGACCTTCTGGGAAATTCCCTACTTACATACCAACTGCTGTGAGAAACTCCATTAGACACAAATGATGGGAGATGACATTTGCACTTAAAAGAAGGCACTGGTACTTTTCTATAAATAAATAAATAAATAAAAATGTAGATAAGCAGGATGAGGAGAGAGAGAGTAAAAATGAAGTTTTGAGGGGAGAAGTTATTAATTACAAGAATAACAACCATTCAACTATTAGACCTCTAATATGTGCTGGATGTCTTGCATACATTCTAGCTAACCCAACAAAGAAGGTTTATTGATCTTGTTTTACAGATGAGCAAATGGAGGCTAGTAGATGGCAGAGCTGAAATTTGAACCTCTGGTCCCTGTCCCTCTACATTCTGTGCCCATCCTGTGCATCGCACTAAGCTCAGACATTACCATTATTGGATGCAAACCCTCACAAAAAGTAGAATGTGATATATAAATATGTATTTCATATATTTACAAACAAGATTATTTATAAGCTGCTACATAGTTTAATGGGTCAGGATTTTCTGCTCATATTGGGAATATCAAATCCTCAAAGTTCATGTCACACTGATGACATCAGCCACTACGGCCAACAGCCTTTGTGACATCCCTGAACACACAGATATAACACCAGCTGTCACTTTAACAATGGCATAAAGTTGCGTGTCAGGAGACCTGCGGCAGTAAAACCCTGGGCTTGATTGTCCAGGAGACCATGTCTTCCTTACAGGTCACAGAGCAAACACTGTGACAAACAAGCCAATTACAAGAAGAAAGAGAAGGTAACAAAGAGCAAATAGGTCCTTGCCTGGCAGGAGAAGCCAAGAAAATGAGCCTCGAAGGCCTCTGCAACATTTAACTCCTCCTTCAGGGAACTTGGTACAGAAGTCTGCCTAGGGGACTTAATTAAAAAAAATTTTTTTGGTATTAAATGTACAGAGCAGAGAATCCTTATCAATAATAAACTGAGGCCAAATGGAGGCAGTGAAGTCATTGCCATGGTCCTTTAAAAAAACTTTTTATTAGTTTTCAGAGCTTTGGATCTCCAGCATCCTCCTAGGGTATTTGAAGTCTATTTTATACACGAAGGTAGTTATTTCCTTGACAGTGGTGTAGGGTTACTGAGTCTCTCCTATTTCCTTGATAATCTTTGTCTTCAAAGAGAGGTGTGTTTTATAGGTCAAATTGGGGCTGAAGAGCAGAGAATGAGCCCTTGGATGCTCACAAGTAATTAGCCTTGACACCTGGGCTTAGTTACCCCTCATTATGGCAGCCTGAAGTCTTTGCCTGGGCTGTGTCTCTGACAGGGTGGGGCCTCCTCACCATCAATCTCTGCTCATTTCTCCCTTTCACCTCCAACTTCAGTTTCAACTCTCCCTGCAAGACTTTGTGGGCAACTCTGTCTGGTTTCTTAAACTCCCTCAAGACTGAGATACAAAGGTGCTATTTGGTCACCTTTGATTTGTTCTCCTTTCCCCCTTATGTTCAAATTGTTTTACACACCATTTCCAGATTTCTTCCCCAAATGTAGCTCAGACTTTACCATTATTGGATGCAAAAGCTCCAGAGATTCCCAATGGACTATGGGGATCACTGGTTGATAATTCTTCCCTCCTTGAAACACTTTTCTTGCTTGGTTTTCAGAGTACACATTCTTCTGGTATCTCTGTATCTCACCAATTGCTCTTTCTCAGTCTCTTCTGCTGGCTCCTCTTCATCTCCTAGACTTTGAAGCATTGGGCACCCCAGGGCTCAGTCCCTGTACCTCTTTGGTTTGCTAGCTTTGCCTATTCCCTTGATCCCATCCTTTCTCATGTCTTAAAATAGCAACTGCTTGTGAAAGACTTTCAAATTTACACCTCTAGCTCAGACCACTATTTTAATCTTAGCCTCATACATTCAACTTTCTTGGGGGGTAAAAAACCAATTGAGCAGATCCAGTCTGTTGTGCAGGTGATTCTTGATTTACAATGGGGTTATGTTCATTTTCACTTGAAAATATTATAAGTCGAAAAAAAAATGCAGTTAATACACATAATCTACTGAACATCATAGCTTAGTCCAGTTCACCTTAAGCATGTTCAGACTCTTACGTTAGCTCACAGTTGGGCATCATGAGAGACTATTATAACACATATTATCAGCTCAAGATGAAAATTCAAAATTTGAAGTATGGTTTCTATTGAATGCGTATTGATTTTGCACCACCATAAAGTTGAAAAAAATCTTAAGTTGACCTATCACTGGATGGAAACTGTCTATATTGATCTTTCCAAAGAGCTAAATATAACATATTAAGTTTTCCAAGGACGGCTACAACAATATCTCCCACCCCTTAAGATCATGCTGTGTTCTTAAGAGTCTTTTGTGTGAGATCTATGTTGTTTCTCTTTTAATCTGGAAAGATCTTTATGATTGCCTTGACTGAGGGAGGATGCTCAAATGACACTGTGATTTCAAGGTGCAACTGTATATCTGTCAAGTATTTCTGTCTCTCTGTCTTGTGGTGCTTGTTCTTGGGACTCAAGTCACTATGCTATGAGGAAAGAAGTCACATGGTCACACGTAGGTATTCTGGCCAAGAGCCCTCCTGAGGTCCAGCAGAGAGCTTCAACCACTGAATATGTGCATAAAGAAGCCTCAAGATGATCCAGCCCCTAGCCATTGAGTTATCCAGCCAGAATCTCCCCAGCTGAGATTAGACAGTAAGAGAAGAGACAAATTGTCCCTGACAGGTTCTGTCCAAACTCTTGACCCTCAGAGTCTACCAGATGAACAAAATAGTGGCTTTAATGCCAGTAAGTTTTAGGGGATTTTTTAGGTAGCAACAGTAGATCTGCCTTGGGTCATGACTACCTTCCAGTTCCAGACTCGGCTAGGTCTGTCCCCTCCTTAAAGCTCCCCATCTTAAGAATACAGCAGACATAATATTCCTTATTGTGAATTCTCATACCAACCTCTCCCACTCACCCAGGGGAGTCAGGCCAGACGCCATACCCTTATTCTCTAGCCACCTGGAGCAACTGGGGCAAACAGTGCTAATGCACCCATGTTCCTGTGCATGTGAAATGTTCTTCATCTGGTCAGCTCTACTCTTCTTACCTCTTATCCTCTCAACCTGGAGGACTCCTACTTGGGTGAATTCAAAGGCTAATCTAAAATGTTCTTTCCTGGATAGAAGACTCCAGAAGGCTCCAGACTTCCTATTGAGAAGTCCGAGATGGGGTGTGTGTGTGTTGGAGATCCCATGTACATCTATGGGAGCAGCTGATACCGGGTCCTGGATAATAGCTGTCACCTTAGGGCATGGCCTTAATGTGGTCAGCTCTTCTGACTTTCCAAGGTAAGGCTGGGTTTTTAGGTAAATTCTCCCAGTTTTAAACCTTTAGGCAGGTCAATCAAACTGTGTTGCTTCTGGTCTGGGGACACAAGTTGGCCATCCCAGTCCAAACCAATTAGCCATCTCTCACTAGGGCACAGGCCACATAGTGTTTCTAGGGAAATTTCCAGACTCTGTAGACATCATTTTATAATAATGTGAGCTCTCCAATGATGAGGTTGAGTCTCATACTTGCCATCTCTGTCCCCCGGGGGTTGGCATAAGGCTGGATGCACAGTCAATACCATGGTCTCCACAGCCCTGATCTCTGATATGGGGATTCAGCCCCTGCCTTCCACTCTCTTCCCCTTAGCAGAGCCCCAAGTGACTCTGAGCACTGCTTCATCTCCAATGATGTCACCCTCTCATTTTCTTTCCCAGGCTTCACACCTCTGAAGTAGCCCTCCACATTTTGAAAAGCTCCCCTTTCTGCCACCGCCTCCCTTTTCCTGTTTGGAGTCTGAGATAGTCAAAAGCCCTTCTGGTTCCAGTGTGTAAATTTATTCGGAGATGGGTGCCTCTCCAAGCCTGTTGTCTCAGCCAAAGCAGGACACTTAGAGTTGATTATCGCATTACCACCGTGCTGATGTGGAGTGCTGATCTGCAAGTAAGACTGCACAACACGGAGAAGATGAGCACTTTAGAAGAAGTGGTTCCCTTCCACACATCCAGATAAAAGGTGGCATGTTGATGCAGGGCACATAATTTGGCGATGGCAAGACATTATCTTTTCTTTATGAATAATAGAAGATGTTTGGCTGGCTCATAATCTTTAAAAAACTGTAGTCATAGTAACACATGTGTCGCCCCTTAATATGAGAATTTTCCCCCTTAAAGACAACAGCCTATTTTACAACATGTTCTTATCCCCCCCAACAGAACAATATTCATTAGATTTTAAATTCTACCGAAGTGAAATATAGAAAAAAAAGGATTACCTTCTCCTGGTGAGATACCTGGCTATTAATCATGTGGGGTAACATAGAGCTAGATTCTTTCTGTCTAAGAATTGTAGTCGCTGATGAAAGAATCATCAGTGACGGTGCACAACTTATGGAGGCAGAGTGGTGGGGTCTGTCTACCCATGTCAGTCTCCAAAGGAAAGATCCTGGGTTTTGGAGAAGTAACCAAAACAGAAGAAAATTTCCAGGGTGTCCAAGACCAGGCATCCTTACCTCTATCACGAAGGTGGCCCTACTGTGTGGTGGTGATAAGAGGGAAGGGGTGTTATATAAAAGTGGGACGTGTTTTATTTTTTTTGTAGTTGACACACCTCAGTAGGGGAATTTGTGCAAGCAGAAAGATGTGGATATTGGTGGAAATGGGTTGATTAGCTTGGAGTGGGTAGTAGATGGCTTTCAGGAGAGGTGATGGCCAATTTCCGATATCCGAGAGGCAGTTTGATAGTAGAAGGATCTGATTTGTTTTGTGTGGCCCTCAAGGAGAGAACTAGTAGCTAGGGATGGGAGGATATAGAGAGGTGTACTTCAGATCAGTCTGAGGAAGACTTGGGTAAAGGAGGTCCCTGGCATGTAACTCTGAGGTGGCTCTCTGAGTGCACAACCTGGACTGGGGAGGGCCTTCTTGATCAATACCTGGTAAAGGATGAACAAGAGGGCAGAGGGAGCAGTTGAGCAGTGGCGAAACTGCAATAGAACTTTAGCTGATCTTACAGAGAACCCTGGGGCTGGGACTGCCCTCAGCTCTGTTCTGAATTGAGGCAAGGGAACTAGCCCTTTGCAATATCGCACTGGCCAGTCACTGTTGTAGCTATCCTGCAGGGAGGGAAGTCTTAGGAGGGCAGCTCCTCTGGGAGCCACCAGTTGCCCACATTCCTGGGAGCTGAGGAAATGAGAGACTTGGGCCCAAAGGGGGATCTGAGCAGTACATTAAGGTATCCACCCGAGATGGCTGCTTGGTGGAGATGTCAGGACCCCTTCATCATGTGACTTCTTATCATCTGTCCAGTGTTCACATTCTCTTATAAAATGCTATAAGGACCATAAAAAGCCCATTTATCAAGTATTCCTGGATTGCTAGCTGCTAGCATGGGGTCCTGGTTGGAGTCAGAGGCACAGTTTGCTCAACTTATAGCTCCTGGCTCCTGGGCAGTATCTCCTTGGTTCCAGAGGAAGAGTTCATACAAATTTCATTCAAATAATATCAAATGAGTGACTTCATTTAGGAGCTAGAAACACAAGTATGAAGAAGATTAACAAATCCCCACCCTTGACAGGGCTTATCTTCTAGTGAGAGAGACATAAAGCAATAAATGAATCTGGATAGGGAAACAGAATGAGCGTGTGTGTGTGTGTGTGTGTGTGTGTGTGTGTGTGTGTGTGTGATATTTATATTGGGGATTCAAAGATGGTGTCTTTGAGCAGTGACACTGCATTAGATCTGAATTATATTAAATAACTCCAAAGATTGGGAGAATAGAGTTCTAGGCAGGAGGAATGGCAAGTGCAGAGGTCCCGAGGTCGGAAAAGCCTGGTGTTTTCTAGACTTATTTAATAAGCAGAGTGTGAGAAGATAAACTTCAGTTTTCAGGGAGAACTTGCTTCCATAAAGAAAGGCAGTTGCATGTTGGGGTGAGGGGATGTAAGAGGCATTTTTCAGTGTTTAGTAGCCAAAAGCCATGCATCATCATACTCAGGAGAGAAGAGCCAGTTATCTTGGAGGGTGCTGTCATGAGACTGCACTTGGCAGTGGAAGCCCAGCGGATACATTTTGTTTCCTCATCTAAAAAACTGGGATGGTTTTAGTACCCACTTTGTAGGATTGTTGTGAGGATCAAGAGCTAGAATCTACAAAAGTGCTGAACTCTCAGTCCTTGGTTCACAGTAAGTGTTTAATAAATACTAGCACTAATTTGTGTTGTTTAACTTAACTGAAGAGATGGGCTTAACTGAAGATTTAAATTCTAAGTCCCTCCTCTATGCCATCTCTCCCCTCTTCCTCTCTCTGTCTGTCTTAGTCTCTGTATCTCAGTCTGTCTCTTTTCCGCTGTCTCTTGGTTGATCTCTAATTTTTGTACTTATCTCTACTTGTCCGTCTGTCTCTGTCCCTCACTGTGCACTTTCTCTCTCTTATTCTTTTTCTTTCCTTCCTTCCTCATCTCCTTCTTTCCTTCCTTCATTTCTTTTTTCTTATTCTATTTGTCTCTCTTTCCTTTTCTTCTTGCCAGACCCAGAGCCCAGCTCTGCTTTTCAGACCCAGGAGCTGGCTGCTGTCCTTGGTGCTGATGAGGACAGCAGGCTCCCGTCTTCCACCCTTCATTAGGGAACAGAGATAGATGGTGGTGGTTTTCCTTGAACAGCCAACCAGCAGGGGTTCTCCATCTGCTAGTGCAGGTAGAGTGACTTCCCTTATGGGACCAGCTCCTCTAGAGCACGAAGGACCCCCCTTGGTCATGAGAGCAGCTGCTTTTCTGCCCCCTTCCCACAAACACACTTAATCTTGCCTTGTACTTGCCCATATGGCCTCCATGGGGGCTGGAGCAGCAGGTCCTCCTTCGTCTCAGGACTGCAGTGAAACAGATTGGAAGAGGATTTATTTCTCCTGCTCTAGTGGTGCATAGCAGCTCCCTTGTGTGTGAGTGTGAGTGTGTGTGTGTGTGTGTGTCTTTCCAGAAACACAGGCACTTTCTCCATGGAAACCCTTTACCAGGAGAATGATGTCAAAAGCTGTATCCCTTTACCCCCAAAGAATCTTTCTTTAATATCACCCAAAGTGAATTAAATGAGGAAGGCTATGAGATTTTTGTCTCTCTTGGTCCCTGTCAGCAGATGATATGTTGGGAGAGGGATCAGCAATTAGGGGAAGGGGCCAGGTGCTCTGAGGAGGTAAAATGTGATCACAGAATTTAAAAGCAGCCATGAGTAAGTTGCAGTCCTCGCCCATCCCTAACTCTATGATCTTGGGCAGAGGATAGATAAGTTTCTTCATCTGAAACCAGGGGCAAATATCTGCTCAGTCTTCTGCATAGAGTTGCTGTAAGTATCAAACAGAAATCAATATGAGGGAATCTGGAAACCAAGCATTGTGCAAACTCTGATAGCTCACATTTTTCAAGTGCTTTTTTAAGATCAGGCTCTGGGGTGGGCACTTCCCATGCATTATCTTATGCAATCATTAATCCTAATGAGGTAGGTATGTGTCTCATTTAAGGGATGAGGAAGCTGAGGCTTCTGAGAAATTGTGAGTTCTTCCCAAGGTCACTGTTGGAGGCAGGGAACGTAGTGAGTGCTGGGAAGTGAATTCAAGTCTGTTGACTCCCAAGTTCTTGTGTCTTTCATTGTGCCCCATCCCTGACTCTGTCTTGGAGGATAAGCTATGGCTGATATCCCTGCAGCCTAGTTGTTTTGATGGACTGACTGAGACCCAGGCAGATGGCAGGGTTTGAGTTGGCAAATCCATCCTGAGATGGCCAAGAGGTTCACCTTGGACACACCAGAGGACACTTGGAGAAAGAAGATGTTGGAGTTCCTTACCTCAGGGAAGGGACCATCTGCTCTGTGCTCTTTGAGATAAATTACCTTCAGAATCCATGGCTTTCTCCAACACTTTTGGGCTTACGAGGTTAAAGAGACCAGGTGTCTGCTGCATTATGTGTCCAGAGAGAGCAGAACTGTGCCTGAAAAAGGAACTTCTTAGAGTCCAGGGGCCTCCTCTCACTGGCAATAAAAACCCAGCCTGAGGATTCTGTAAACAGCTGGAGCTGCTCTTCTGCCTTCTTCCAAATGCAGCCTCAACTTCCAGCTCCAAGGCACCTTCATCCACTTATACCATTTATTTTTATTTAAAATAAACAAAAAATGCTTTTAAAGTCCTGCATTCAAAACTCTAAGCACAAGCTTCTGGTATAGACAAATAGGTTGCGATTAAGGGAGGCTGATCAGGGAAGGATTCTGAACTGAGCGAGTTACTGCAACTAGGTTGTCCAGTTTCATAAGCGTGAATTTGGTCACATTTCCTATTTTCCCATCACTTGCCATGTTTTCAAAAATCTCAGTAAATCTTTTGGGGCTTTTGGATTATAAAAGTCTTGGTGTGTACTTGGTCCTAAATGGTGAGTTGACTTCCTTATTCTTATGCTGGTAATACTGGGAAATATGATCAGCCTGCCCATGGGCGGGCTGGCTTCAGCTGCAGTTGATGCTATTGCTGCCACATGGGATGGTTGTTGCAGACTGGTCCAGAACCAGTGTGATGTTTTCCTGAGCATGGCTGAGATGATGCACTTGCTTGTTCAAGGTGTTCTTTGAGAAGAGTGGTCCTCCTTCTTTAGTGTCCCTCTTAGTACAGTGTACTCCAAACCAACAGTTCCTTGGCTCACAAAGCACATTACCATCACATAATGGGCCAACCATGAGTGTTCTACCAACCTTAGTCAAACATGATATCAAGACAAACTCTATCATTTGCTTGGGTCACCTCTCCAGATTTCCCTTTTATTAGAAGCTGCTATGATTTGGATGTGATTTAGATGTGTCCTTCAAAGATGCATGTGTTGGATGCTTGGTCTTAGGGTGGTGGTGTTGGGAGATGGTGTAGAGATTTTAAAAGTGAGGCTTACTGGGAGGTCCTTACATCACTACCCTTGGGAGGAATTAGGGTAACTTTCATGGTACCTTGAGCTTTTGTGAGAATGAGAGCAAGTTGTTATAAAAGGGAGCCCAACCCTAGAATTACACTCTGACTTCCTGTTTTTGTGATGTGATCTCTTCTTTCTGCACATACTTCTGACATTGCCATTGACCATGAACTGATGTATCCAAGGGAGGCCAGTCAACCCTAATCAGTGCTGTTTGAACTTTCATCCTCCCCAAACATATGCTAAACAAACCTAATTTCTTTATAAAAT